CGATGGCGTCAGCCGTGGGCGTTGTCGAGGCTGTGGGGGTCACAGAAGAGGTTGCGGGCATCGTGACTTCTGGTGTGGGGTCATTCTCGGCCGCATGTTGATCGTTACCATCGCCAGACTTATCAGAGCCTTCGGCTGCAGCAGCAGTGAGATCTTCAGTTCCGTCGCCTTCACCGTTCTTCTCGTCAATTAATGGGTCCAGAGTCGCTTCCCCTTCTTCCACTGATGAGTCGATCCTAGCAGGCGACTGTGTGGGGGTAGCCAGAATCTCGGGCTGCAGTTCCCCGATTTCAGGGCTCCTGATCATGCCCGATATATCAGCGGCAGCTCCTTCAGGATCAGCTGCTGCATCTCCGTCGAGCTCTCCCTCTTCCTTCTCGGAATCCATCTCTGTCATAAGATCTTGGTTGTCTTGCTCGGTCTCAATCTGGTCTTTTGACCCTTCTTCCACAGATGCATCTGCCTCGGGCAGGTTTTCTTCTGCCATTTCGCCAGCATCATCCTGCAATTCAGCTTCATTATCTTGCTGCAGCTCCCCGGGTTCCTCCGTTTTCTCCTCACCCGTTTCGGCTTCTATATCTTCCCTTTCACCATCATTCTCAGCAGCGTCTAAGGACTCATCCACTGCTGGTTCGGCCGCAAGGCTTTCGCCCTGAACAACGGAAGATTGCCCCTCGCCACTCTCGGTCTGTATCTCTGATACTTTCGACTTCTTCGACACAGGCGGTGCAATCTCGGAACTGGTTTCTCCATGAGCCGTAATCTCGTGAGGCTCAGAGGCCAATGATTCCGCCTGCCGCTTGCAAGCATGGGTTTGGGTTGGAGCAACAGAAACATTTGCTTGGCTTTCGATTTCACTGGATGATGGTTGTTTGCCTTCGTCCCCGGGTATTTCAGCTTCTGACATCTCTACATCGCCCTGAGGTTCCTTGGGTTTGACAAGTTGGGGACGAACAATTTTCCTACCCGGTCTTCGGAGCTCAGTGCCCGGTCTAGGCAAAGTTATCCTCTTCTCTCTGTTATCCGATGCTTTCGGAGGCTGGCTAGATCCCATGGGAGCTGCTGAAGGTGTTGCAGGAGAGGCCTTCACGACAGTCGAAGGCTCAGCTGTTCCAACAAGGTTCGAATTCTCGCACATAAGCCAGAGATCGAAAGGCGTAAAAAAGAATAAAACGATCGGAGAGTTTAAAAGTTCTAGTTACCAGTGGCAGAAGAGCCCTGCGAAGGATCTGCTACTGAATCGGTAGGTTTTGCGCTGACTTGGAAATTGACGATAATAGAATGTGCTACACTTTCAAAGTAATCTACTGCTGACATAAAGGCAGTAGCTTGGTCACTCAATATGCTTCCAGATAGAACCTGGACGGCAGAAGTACCCTACATAAAAATAAAACATGATGTGAGCAATAAAAAAAACACATTGTATTGTTAAGTCACCACGAAATGGTGGAAGAAAGACTTGTTACCTCGGGAAGACTGCCTTCTGCTTGTTTCAATTTCTCTAATTCTTCTGACAGACGAGTGAGTGCGGACTGATACCTCTCAAGCTTTACAAGCTCATCTTCTACTTTTTTCTTCTCCTGAAAAAAAAAAAAACAGACGGGGAAAATATTAACGGACAGGTATTAACTAATACTTTTGCCACAAAAAAAAGCAGCAGCAGCAGCAATGTGGTTAGCAAAAATTTTCTCCGACTATTTGAATTGTCATAAGGGTTATGACAAGCAATGATGCAGACCTTTTTAACTTTTGTCAAGGAGTCCTCAACTATCTTCTCAACAGACTTGCGTTCGGCTTTTTCTTTCGTTAACTCATCATCCTTCTTCTTCATTTCATCGTCCCTGTGCTTGAGCTTTTCTTTCAGCTTGTCGACATAATTATCCAAAATCTGTAGCAAGCAAAAGCCATTTACGCTGTTGGGATCGCATAAACTCACATAAAGCCACAAGAAGCGACTGACAAAACAAGTATGAATCCACTAGAACCTGAATCTTCTGTTCTTTTTCCTCTTTCTCCTTCATGACCTGCTCAACCGTGGCATCACTTGCAGTTCTTTTATCTGTTTTTCGGTAGTAGCCGCACAAAACAAATGAGCACCCAAAAAATAAAATTTATCCAGTCGGAGCGTGGATAGAATTTAAAAAGAGAAAAAAAAAAAGATTACTTTGCTTAATTTCTTCCAGTTGCTTAGAAAGAGTTTGGTTTTCTTTGCTCATGTCCTCTTTTTCTTTTTCTAATTTTTTCTGCAGGGCAATAAAAGAACTCGCCATGTTAAGGGAAAACGACAGCGAACAGAGTCAATGGTTGATAAGGCACCATTTGAAATAAAAAAACTCATAAAACAAGAAAGAGATATATAGAAACCTTGGCCACAGCAAAGCTTCTCCTGTACTTCTCATAGTCTGCTTTCTGCTTATTAAAATCTGCTTTGAGCTTGTCAATCTCTGACTGCAAGCTAGCCTGAATGAAAGTAAACAGAGGATAAATATCTATGTGATAACAAAAGGGATAATGTAGCAAATATGACAGTATACCTGTGCCTGCTGAGCATCATTTAACCGCTTCTCCCTCTCATTTAGTTCCGTTTTGTAATTTGATAGCTCCTGCTCCAATTGCGAAATTCTGCTCTGCTTTTCCAACAGAAGCTTCTTGACATCTTCTATCTGAGCATCTCTTGCTTTCAGTTTCTCCTAATAAGGAAGTAGACACCATAGCGCCAGAAGAGTGTGAAACAGAGAAAAGCCTGAAATCTATGAGGGACACTGACAATCTGAATTTAATGCATCACGATAAGCATCCACATCACCATTCTTCTAATAGTTCGCCAGAACAAATCAGCCAATAAGATGATTATGATTCACAATCTCAGCATCTCACGCACAGGGTAATTCATTCCTTACAGAACATGTGAACCTTTTGGGAGCTCAACACGTTGCATCGCCCTTCTGAGCGCTGCTTAATTTGTGAAGATGGCACATACATACACAATGTCCATCAATTTGGAATTATATATTCATATAAGAACCTCCTTCGACTACTAAAACCCTCTAGATTGCTTCTAAATTGTATTTTGTTGACAGTAATACAAATAATAATTCCCGAAATCAAGCTTCTTTACAGATATACAATCTACCCAAAAAAGAAAACTTTCTATTTCTGCCCCAAGCATTGAATAATAGAGCAACCGATTATCAATAGGTGGTGACCTCAAGACTGCAGCTAATCACCATCAGCTAACCAAGTTACCAACTGGTGCCTTTGAATTGTAAATTCAGCCAGGCGAGACAAATCTCATACACCAACTTGGACATTTATCATTCTGCCCAACCTTTACACAACAAAATCTGGGTGCTAATGAAATTTCCACGGCCCGAAAATCTTATTGACATACCTCCAGTTGTCGCACTTCATCCTTGAGGCGATTGTAATCAGCCACGTCAATGTTTTTGAATGTCTCCCGCAACTTCACAAAGCAAACATACATTGTAAGTATGCGCCAATGAAACATGACCAAGAAAAACTTAAATGACTTGCCTCATCAGCCCTCTTTTCTTGAAGATCTTTCTCCGTCCTTAGCCTCTCCATCTCTTTCGCAAACGAATCCAACTCTGTCTGTCTTTGCCTCAATAGGTTCTCCAAGTTTTCACATTCCATCCTAGCCTTTTGAGCTACCTCACGCATTCTCTGAAGTTTCAAACAAGATCAATAAGTTTTCTCAGGAATGGTTAACCGCATTGGATAAAAGAGAGGAGGTCTGCCAACTTAGAATAAACATAAGAAACTTGCAGTGGTTTCATTACGCACCTGGCATTCCTCAAAATTGTGTTTGTTTTCCTCTCTGAGTTGCATGTTGCTTTCACGAAGCAAGTTCATCTCTTTGACCTGCAAGAGACCCACAAAGCCAGCCAATGCAAACAGTTCAATTCTAAGTGGACCTATCAGCAGAACAATTGAAATAGATGAAATGATGATCCTGACAAAGAAGGATACTCTGTTAATATGGTAACAGATCCAACCATAATCATCTTTACCTGAAGCTGAAGAGATTTGATTTCTTCCTCGGTCAATAATGATGCCCTTGAACTGGCCCTCTCAGAATTAAGTGATGCCTGTGCAGATTCTGCCATCTTTGTTGCACTCTCAAGCTGGGCAACCACAAGATGAAGATAAAAGCACAGTACGTCAAAGTGTAGCAAAAGATGCAAGTAAAGACAAGCCACTCCCTTTTATGGGTGTGCGCAGGAGGCTTTTATTTGTGTGTTTAAGCAGAAAGACAGTGATGAAATATTAAGATACAATAAAAAAGCAACTCACTTGAGATTGAAGTCGCAGTTTTTCTTGTTTCAGTAAAGAGATCTCTGTTTCTGCCTGTTAAAGTCAAGTCTCAGTGAGATGGAAAATGAGGATGCGGAAGCAATGGACTCAATCAAAAGTGCATGACAAGGAATCCAGCATAGAAAAGCAAATATAGAAAAAAGTTTCTTACTATTTCCTTTGTCCTGCGTAAATAATTAATGACACTTTGCAAACCAGCATCACCAAGCTGATCAGAATCACTGGTTCCGGAAGAAGTTTTCCCAGCACGGACATCCTTCTCAGCTGAATGAATATGCATAGCCTCAAGTCGATTGTGGAGTAATTTATTCTGAAGGCAGAGAAAGATAAGATGAGTGATCCTTAGAACTGAGAACGAAGAGCAATTCAAACCCTCCACAGATACACTTCCTGATGCAACATAAAAACTTGATACAGAGCCTTATTCAGCAATCACTATTAGGGATTGTCCCAAATTATTAGAACGGGAATAAAGCACACTAAGTTATAAAAATAAAATAAACAGTTAGACAATAAGTCCCGGATTCAGTGTGCAGAAATGGCTGGACTGCTGAAAGAGAAGCAAAAGAGAAAAAGCCACAGAACTTAAACCACCTGTTCGTTGAGTTCATGATACTTCTTCTCAGCAAGATTCTTTTGCTCCTCCAGCATTGATTTCTCAGCATCCCACTTGGCCTTAAGCTCAGACTGGAAAAAGATCAAAACAAATTGAAGTGGTGTACCTTTAATAAGCACCAAATGACATCAATGGACCATGCTAAGAAGAAAGCAAAAAAGGCCAGAGTCAAAAGAAATAAAACAAGGAATGTTATTCTAGGAAAAAGTCGCAAAAATTAAGGTTTCTCCCAATTTCGCAATACAAAAACTAACAGACCACAGATGAAATGGAACATTTCCAGGAGTAGTTGGGACAACAGGTAAGTGAAGTTTCCGCTTGAGAATTTAGAAGGTACATTTTCAGTTTCTTGTGCATCAGCCAATTTACGTAATTCAGATGCCTCATCTTGAAGGGTTGCCAAAGCTTGTGATGTTTTTGTCAACTCTTGAATGGTTTCAGACTGCAGAATGACCTGTGTTGAAAAAAGTGAGAGGTGATTCAAATTTACCTCTAAAAAGAAAAAAGAAAGCAGTCTGCAAACGAACAACAATTGCACACAAAGTAATAAAAAAAAAGCTAACAACATATAAAAGCATTTTGTGACATGTACAATCTCATACAGAATGTCACTAATGCATATGAAATCTGTCAATATCCCAATATTTCTCAAATTGAATATGAAAGGAAGGTAAAATGATTCACCAGAAATCTGACGGACGAGAAAAACCACATCAGCATCTCAGGCAATATCATGATAGTCAACACATCTCTGAGACAGTGCTGCAGTGGTACTCTCAAAAGAAATGATCAAACAAACCTGTCTTTCATAATTCCCCTGAGCTGCCCGCCATTTCTCATGCTCCCGCTCCAAGCCATCCTTTAGAGCAGAAATTTGAACTTCCATGGCTCCAATTTGAGAACTGTTCATGATTGCATGACATCAATCACCAGAAAAGTTTATCAAACTGGATACACACAAAAAGGGATAATAAAAAAAACTACCTCTTAACTAAGCATTCTTCTTTCAGACATGCAATTTCAGCTGATGCAGATGCAAGAGCTTCTTCTTTTCCAACAGCTGCAGAGGTTACTTCCTCAGATTTTCGGATACACTCATTTTCAAGCTCAGATACTCTCTCCTTAAGTGAAAGAACCTCAGTTTCCAACGATTTCTGCAGCTTTTCAGCCTACAACAAACGTTAGGTGAAACAACCTTGGCAACAGATATAATTTTATCAGAGTTAGCCTCCCCAAAGGGTTCTTAGCCAAAAGGAATCTACAATACCTCAAGTTTGAAGTTCTCATGAGCAGATTCCATCTGCTTTAATGCAGCTTCATTCACCTGGGCTATGTTCTTGTACTGCAAAGCGTTATATATGGTCAGCTCCTTGTTGTAACAGGATAATGAAAAATGATGCCAAATGGGAGAGTACCTGAAGCATGTGACTTTTGTTAGCTTCGGCTTCTTCCTTAAACTTTTCTATTTCTTCCTTAGCCATGCCCAATTCCACAGAAATCTGGAGCAAATGACAACAAAAACTAAAAGTTTAGAACAAACTTCATATAGACAAGTGGTTATTTGCTAGACAACTTTTGTAACAAGGCAGTCACAGACCTCATTGTTTGAAAGTGAGGGAGTTCCACTGCTGTTGGCCACATCAAGACCCTAAAATGTGGAAAAGAAATAATATGAAAACAGAGACAGTATAGGCAATAATTACAGGGAAAACAAAAGGTTACCTCCCTGACTCCAGATAGGAGTATGTCGGTCAAGACAAGTACAGTTTGACAGAAGCAAGAAGAATCAAAACGTTTACCTTAGCGTCTGAAGATCTGATCTTCTGTAAATCCAAAAGTCGGGCCTATTTTCAAAGATTAAAGAGATCATTTTATCAATGCTACTGATAGCTTGCTTCAGCAAACCAAAAATATGCACTGTAATTATCCAATATAAATCAAGTATGGGGTGGACAGTGGCTAATAAACCTATAGGCTCCCAACTCTTACAAGCTAGATTTTTGTAGCAATTGCTTTGACTATTATGGAATGGTTCATATCAATTAGTCTCAGATCCAAACCCCACACAAAGGCCAATGTCCCAGGACAAGCAACATAGAAAGACCAACCGTGGAAGGGGCAACCCAGAGAGACTACAGTGGGCAATCTGAAGTGGACACTGGATAAACATGAACATCCATGGTGTCGTGAGCAGATATGAACCCATGTAAATCTATGGGTTTGGCGTAGGGCTTTTAAAGCAGAAGGTATAAGAAAAGGTCATATAGATTTAGAACTACCTCAGCCACAGAAGCCCTTGACTCGGCCGCTGATAACGTCTTCAAGGTGTTAGCTAACTCTTTCCTCGTTTCTTCTACTTGCTTTGCAGCATTTTTCCGAGTTTGCTCAAGATCTGAAGAAAGATTCCGAGCATTATTCTTTTCTTCTTGTAGTTCCCTCTTAGCTTCAGCCCATTCTCTCTGCAAAAATCCCAATGAAAAGGATACAACCAGTTGAGTTTCACACTTCTTCAAGAAAATGAAACACAAAAGTGACATCAAACAAAGTCATAATAATCAAAGGATAACCTCGGTTTGCTTGATATACTCTTCTTGTTTCCTTCTCTCATTAGCTCTCGCTTCCTGAGTTCAAATGTCAAATACCAATTTATAACAAAAAAATTCGAAGATAAATATTCCAAGAGAAAATTCAGCAAAGTACAGTAAAGAGCGGTCTTGCTACCTCACGAACTTCCTCTGCACTCTGAATAGTGTCCAAACTAGCCTGTGGAACAATATATTAGCTAAAAAAATCATAACTAAAGATAGCAATTGCAGTTGTCAAACTTTTAACCTGTAGGCGATAAACTCTCTCTGATAAAGCACGAACTTCATCACACGCTCTCCTTTCAGCATTTGATAAAATCTCCTTTTCTTGTTTTAGAAAAGAAACCTATTGGAAAGATGCCAATCAGTATAACAGCGAGATAATTATTAACTAGACAAATGTGATTTGATTTAACCTCCATAGAAAATTTCCTAGAAAGCTCCTCTGTTGCATTCACAGACTCTGAACTCTCACGCAACTTCTGTTGGTAGCCAACTATCAGCTGCGAGAACTCTATGTTTCTTGCCAAGATGTTGTTCATTTCTTCTCTCTAGCATAAAGAGACGAATAGGATGAAAAACATTGAACAAAGCCCAATCTGCGCCAATAATTCACAGCACAAACTAGAAACATAGCTACCTGGTGCTCAACCTCTTTCATGATACCCTCAAGTTTTTCCCTAGCAAAATTTGCCTCCATGGCCAACTTATCCCGTTCAGACCTTATAGCTATTATCTCACTCCTAAGACAAAGATACAAATATGAAAACAATTCACTTGAATAACAGAGATTTAACAGCAAGAATAAGACAAAAAACAGTAACGGATTGTTGAAAGTTTCACCACATGAAACTTATTTAGAACAGGAGCCTTTGTGATGCAAACATATACTTGTGTAAATACTACGGTTTACAGTAACTAATCTTCACATGCAGACACGTTTCCAATCTGGATTTTAATAAAACCGTGCTTCTGAGAAGTACATAGACATTCTCTTCTTGTTATATGCTGGATAGTGACACAATCCATGTTAAGTTGAGATATGAAATATGAAAAATAAATGAAGAAGACCAAAATAGTTCAGAAATGATATCTCCACATACCCAACTCGTCCCACATAATATACTATGCAGTTAGGAAACTCACAAACACTATGAAGAAAGGCAGCACCCACATTTAAGTATACAAACGCGTGTACTTAGGAAATACAGAAATTGAAAAGGGAATTCTGAGGAACTTAAAAGCCACATAAAGACCAAACTTACCTTGCCTTTGCCAAGTCCTCTTCGAGAGAATTGGCCCGTTCAGAAGCTTTCTCTTGGGCTTTTCTAGTAGCTTCCTAGAGAATGCAATCCACTCAGCAAGATTATTCTCAAAACAGATAGTCTGGTATGTACAGCATCTGGAACCCACATCCCCCTGTTGAAAAAAAGGACAGAGAGAACAGAATGGCCAGTTCTACCTGTGAATTTTCAAGCAGATGTAACAAGTCCGTCCTTCCTTGAACTGTGACAATAAAATTACATTTCTATCAGCGAGTAGAAAGCTACAAAACCAATCCGAAAATGTGCTTTGACTTATGAGCAAGCAATACAAAAGGCTATTGAAGAGATGCTTCGCTATTTAGTTGCATGAAGCTGGAAGAGGAAAGTTCCAGCAAAGACATGACGATGCACAATAAGCTCAGACTGTGTTTCCAAAAATTATAAACTGACTTTTCATTAACTAACAAATATGAGAGAAAAACTGACTTTCCGTCTCCAATTGTTTAGTCAATAATGGACGTTTACAGGAACCTTTAGTTCATTAACAAAAAAAATAAAGCAAAGAGGCAGAACCTTGGGGCACACCAGCAGGATGGGAATAAGAAGAATGGAGCTTCTGTTCCTCTTCGTATAATCGTTTATACATTGCAACCTGCCAAGAAAGAAGAAAATGCATGAGATATAATCAGCAAAAGAGAAATACAACAAAATTTTGACTAGTGCTAACAGTTGTATGATTTGAAAGGCTTACAGAAGTGTGTAGCGATTCAATCATCCGCCCTTGCTCCTCCGCTCTCTCTAAGACAGCAGCAACCTTAGAAGCAGCTTCGTCCATCTTCCTCTTGAGGTCTAGCTCAAATGCTTCCTGATATTCAACACTTTAATACAGTACCACACCTTAAAAAAGCAAACACTTGGCTCAAAAAAATTATCTGTACCTTTAGCTCCATCTCCCTACCCTCAATCTGCTCAGAGAGACTACGAACAAGATTCCTGAGCTTCACATTTTGTTCTACTAATCCATTTATATCTTTGAATGTTAACTGAAATCCAAGACAACCAGAATGCAAACATCAGTTATCTGTAATCAATCTTACCAGTAATTATTTCACACCTGGACTTACGATGAACGATAACAAACTTACAAGATGCTCCGAAATTATTTTATCCGCATCAGACTCCATATCCATTTCAACATCAGAAAGCACAGGATCATCTGCTTCATCATCCCTGGCAGATCCACAACGAAGTTGGATGTCCCGACACTCCCTAAGCAAAATCGTAACCTACAAATGTGTGGTCAACAAATATTGCATGATTAACTGATTGGTCAACCAACCAATTATCAGAAAAGGGGGCAATCTATGAGCGCCTATACACTTAACACCACAAATAATGTTAGGAAGGAACCAGAAAACAGTAAAAGATGATGACAAAATCAGAACCTGACATAAAGCAGCGGAAGAAATTCTCAAATTACCTGCTTCTGTAAGTCAGATACATCTTTCTGAGCCAAAGTGTTTTCTCGTTCACGCCTCCTCAAGTCAGTCTAGCAATGAATTAAATGCATAAAGAAATGCATGAACAAAGTTGAAAACCACTAAAGTGATGAGCTAAAACTAAGCCAATACCTTTAGCTCCAGTATAATCTTCTCAAAATTTGATTGTTCAGATACAGAATCCTGAAGTTTCTGATTGACTAGAGAGTAAGCTTCAACCATCCTCTCATACTCAACTGGAAAACAGATATGAAAGTGCATTAAGTGTAGGTTTAAAGATCATGAATCTTTAACGAGATAAAAGGAAATTATTAGCAAATTAGACAGAACATCTCTGAAAGAAAGCAGTAAATAGCTCCCCAAGCACAAAGCTAACTGCAAACAGAAACAATAAACCACAAAAGAGACTCACAGCCAGAACAAAACACCAGGATGTTAAGAAGTTAAGTGGCTCTTGTATAAATAGAATTTAAGAGAATACCATAGACTGCTCATACATGCTATAATGCTACGCCTAAGCACCACAGTAACCAGTTTTGCAAGTTAAGCCGCAAGAAATAAAACAGAATCTGATACACTGGTCTTAGATTCTATAAATCACAAGTAAGAATTACAGATAACCAATTCTTTAAAACAAAAAAACAAAAAGCAAAATATCAAAAGTTGGGATAGGTAGGTCACGCCTGTAAGAAATGTTACTCCTACCCCTGATTGCTTTAGAACATACCTCTTTCCTCTTGAATGACTCCTGCTTTCTCTTCTAATTCAAATAGGACCTACGAAAAAATAAATTTTAAAATCTATTTTAAAGCACCTAAGAAAGTAAAAGTTTAAAAAGAGTAAAAAATTAGCACAAGAAAAAAAAAGCTACAGTATGAGAATCTCAGAAGAGAAAAAAGGAAAGAAATATGCTATACTTGAATCCTGAGGGAATCAGATACAAAAAAAAATATAGGAAGTAGAAGATATTAGCCAAGGTCCAGTAGGTCATACCCTTTGTAGTACCGATTCAGCTTCCTTCCTACCCAATTGTTCATGCCGTAGAGCATCAATAGCCTCTTGATATTTCTCATAAATTTTTGCCAGCTGAATGATACAAAAGATCAAAACAAAAAAAAAAATTAAAAACAACAGAGGTAAGCGACAACAAATTTGGCTGTCACTATATTAACTCACACTCCATCCATCGCGTAAGAGTGAAGCTGCTAGTGCTGTTCCAGAAACCCCCGCAGGTAACTTCGGAACTATCATCTGGCTCTCCTCAATCATGTCCCTAGTATCAGAATCATCAACCCGTCTACAACAAAGATATTTAGAGAAAAGTATGAGAATTCAGCAATAATACTGAAGAGGGTCCGTAGGGATTACAAAATTACAATGTCTAGACCCTGTCTTGTCAGAAAAGCAAAAAGCATTGAACGTTCATGTCTCCAGTTAGATTACATACCTCGCCAAACTGCTGAAGGGGAGCAAATTCAACTCATTTGCCTTCCTAGTTTTCTCGATTTCTGCTTCACACTTTTCAACTTTTTGTTTGAGGTCGTCATACTCCTGTAATTGCAGATAAGATGAAGGAAAGAACGATCAAATTAGGAAAAAATTAAACAAAATGCAGCTGATGAGACCATATAAGAAAACAACAGTAATCACTGAAAGCACTTCCCACTAAAATAATTGACAATAGATATTCTTGATAAAGCCACTGCCATGGACCTGAGAGATATCTTGTTTTGAGGTCAAGGGCAATACTAACACCGAGTCGATAAATATGGCTTAAAGGAGACAGATATAAGAACAGAAATCGCAAACGAGGAAAAATAACATGGCACTACATACCTTCTCTAGTTGTTTTCTTGCAGATAGTTCTTTCTCTAGTCTCTCTTTGTAATCACTGTCCACTTGGTTCAAGCGCGTCTACACAGTCACGACTTCAAACTCAGAACAAACTTCATTTCCCAAGAAAACAAGGGAGAACAAATATTGCATATATTTTAATTCCTACTTGAAAGAAAATGAAAACTTACCTCGAGAGCCTTAATGACACCCTCGAGCTCTCCAGCCTTTCTAGACCATTCCTCTGAGCTTTCTTTGTACAGCTCAACAAGCTTATTTGCCTAATTGGTCAACAAATTAAGACAAGCTAGAAGTATGCCCAACTCCAAAAGGCCAACCAATAGTTATAGACTATACACTCATAAGATCTCCAATCATCCAAGATTCATGGACCAAGAAAGATGAAACAATGCTCATCAACACTAGGTTACAGATTGGGACACTTAAAACATATTTCCATATTTCCTTTTTCCCTGCACTGCATCTTTGACACACAGGGAACGGAGTCAAAAATTTATAATGACCAATTCCAAATACTCACAAACACAAGCCCCGAATGTGTTGAATTCTGCTTTCTCAAGAAGCTCAGTTAAGAGTTTTAAAAAATCAAGAACTCGAAGCAGGCAAAAGAGAATTTATGAAGCACATAGAACAAAAAAGACTCACGGTGAAAAGTTCAGCATTGTATTGCTCTTCAGTGACCGACGCTGCGTCTTTGCATGAGCTGAGTTCCTTTGCATGAGAAGAAAACACTGGTAAATATGCACATGTAGACAAGAGAAGATAAAGACATAACTATACATACCTCTTGCAAAGATGTAATCTTTGATTCGAGCTCTCTCAACCGATCCTTATGCCAGTTTAACGAACCAGAACATTCATTATATTTTTTCTCAACCTGACACAGCAAGGAACAATGCGAAGTAAAAGTTACACAAGTGACGCAAAATAAAATAAATATACGTATGAACTGGGATAAAAGTCTCACCTCTGCAAGTTTTGCTGACATTTCAGCCTCGAGATCAGAATGCCTTCTACGTAGATCAGAGTAACTATCAACCTTGGTTGCCAACTCTTCATCAAGCCATTTGTTATGCCTTTCAATAAGTTCTTTCTCCTGTTTCCATCAAAACCCACAAGCCATAAACGTCAAAAAGATTAACACATTACTAGTCATTCATAAGGAGAGATAGAGAACAAACGAGTGGATAGATATAGAAAATAGGGTTCAAGAAAATAAAACCAATGGAACCCAGACAAATATGGTAGCTCGGCCTATAGGAAAACCTCAATGGATGCTGATATAAGCTTCCCAATTCTAAACCACAGCACAACCAAATCCAAAGAGCTAAAATTAGTTTTGGAAGATAGGATCAATAACCTGAGAAAGACGACTACACGTAACTTGAGAACGTGCCAGTTCTGCTTCAGCTTCAGCCAAACGAGCCTCCTTAACCGCACAAACATCAGTCAGCTTGACAATTTTGTCCAAATAACTCTTGATGGTTGAATTCTTCTCGCTGATCTCTGCATCTTTTTGCTCCAACAGCTCCATCAGCTGCCTCTTAGACTTATGCAGCTCAGACATCTCTGTGTTCAGCCTCTCTATCTCCCCATCTCTCTCAATCTGCGTCAAAAAATGAATTTAGCCGACAAACTCAAAACCCCAAAAAAAAATACCCAGAGAAAAACCGGAAACTGTAGAAATCACCGATTGGAGGTGAAGCTGGTGCTTCTGCGCCTGCGCCTGAGCGAGTTCAGCGAGTCGATCATCAATGGCGGACTGAAGCTGGGCGTTCTGAGATTCAAGCGACGAGAAGTCCTGAGAGAGCGAGAGGTACTTCTGCTCGAGCAAGGAGCAAGTCTGCTCCGCTGTGATGGACGCCGCATCGGCCTTGGCACGGACGCTCTCGAGTTCGGCGTACACCTTCCGAATGAACTCATCGGCTTTTGCCGCCACTACCGTCGCGGCGTCGCTAGACAGCCGCGACAGTTCGTCATCGGGCATGAACAGGGGCATATCGGAACCCTAATTCCGGAAATGACGACCACGATATGCGAAGTACAGATTTGAATTTCAATCGAGAAACTTCTGAGAGATTCGAAATTTCCCCAACGAGTCACTCGAGGAAAGCCAAAGGGCCGAGAGGAAAACTTTTCGAACGACGATGAATGATTCTTGTAAAACCCCAGGCATGGAGACTAATATAAACGGTGCCGTTTTACATTTGGGCCTAAACGGGCCTTTATTGGGCTTTTTTTCCAAAATAAATATAAAGATGCCGCTTTCAAATTGGTCCGTCTTAGAAGTTTGGGCCTTTTTCTAACCTCGTTGATTTGATGAAAGGAAATCCCAACCATTTCGTGGCTTGGAGTTCATATTTATTTCTAAGTTTTTTGGTGAAATATTTATTCATTTTATTTATTTCTAAGTTTTCGGTGACCAATTCTAAGATGCTTTAAAAAAAAACTAGGCAAATATATATGATTATGTGTGTGTATATATATATATATATGATTGCTTAACTTTCCCTATTTAATCACATATACATTAGCCTAATTGTTTGTCTTAAGCAATTTTCCAATGCGGTTGCTTCGTTTCTAAACTCAAGGACTAGTTGGACTAGAAATTTTCAAGTCAATATAATGAATAAAAATAAGAATAGATATTATCATAATTCTATGTAGTTTTAATTCGGTTAGACTGATTTTGATCTAAAAATATTCATCATCCTTTGAATTTAATTGTAATCTCATTTTTTATGGATATAAACAAATAGACCGGTGATCTTGATTATATGACAATACATTCTCTTTTTTCATATTTCTTTTTACACGATTTTATGTATCTTTGAATTTTGATATTCAAATAATTTGATATCACATTTCAGATATTTCTTCACATAGTATTCAATATTTATTTCGTACACATATGGTTTTAAATGTGTGTATATATGTTAGTATAATGAAAAGGAGAAAAAAAAAACATCAAATTTATCATATGAAATGGTTTGCCAACACGACGTGCCAACCTCGACATGTGGACAAAAGATTTATCTATATTATTATAACATTTTATAAAAAATGCTATACATGGCGTGTTACATGTGAATAAAATTATAAAATAATGTTTTGTATCCACAGTTGTATCATTTTTTTTCCTAGGAGCATTAATTTGACGAAGGATTGTTGCTCACGGCACGTGAAACAATTTTTCGTTTTTCAAATCGGTCGAGCATTTCCGTGTGAGACAAGAAATATCATTTGCCATACAACATAATGTGATAACTTTTTTTTTTATGAAATATAGTGTAATATTATTATGCATAGATATAGATATATTTACATATTCACCGCTGCCTTTATTTTACTTCAAATAATAAAAATTGAGCATTTCCAACTAATTTTCTATTAACATATAATCAGACAAACCACGTTGAAATAATTATCTAACGAGTTTTCATTATGAAGCCCTATTACCGATTTTGATTAATTTTTTTATTAAACTTTCTTATAAAAATTATGTCTTATATTCTTATGTCTTAATTAGTAAAGGATAATCAAACTATGCAATTTAAAATACCTTCTTCAATAAAAAAAAATTTTCCATACAATTATATATTATTTTATTTAGTTCAATTTCGTTCGAAACAAAATAGTATTCCTCGTTAAACTTTCAAATTTTAGGTGCAATTTCATTCTTATGATAATTTTAATATCACTAAAATTAGGTTGGTTTAGTAAACAAGGCAAACCAAATATCTACAAAATATTGTATTCATAAAACTTACCGGGCTTCACTTATTTTAATGATTGGGCCTCACTTTAATAATTTTTTTAATTATCATACGTTTAACGAAAATAAAAAAAAATAAAAATAATACAATATTACAGGACAATTAGAAAAACAAAGCAAATCAAGCGAAATCATCAAATAGATTCTTTTTTTCTAATACATGTGTTAAGGGAACTCATTTAATGGGTGATTAAAATAAAGAAACTCATTTAATATTGGCTTAATTTGACAATGATAATCACCATTATAAATGACTCATCGTCGAAGCGCACATTTCACAACCACCTTCTCCGACGCAAAATCACAACAGCTCACGATCAAAGCTTTTTTTTTTTTTTTTTTTTTTTGGTGAAGGAGACCTTCGAAGCTTCCTGTAATGGCGAAGAAAGCGGTGTTGATAGGGATCAATTACCCTGGAACCAAGGCAGAGCTGCAGGGCTGCGTCAACGATGTCCATCGAATGCACAAATGCCTTGTTGACCTGTACGGTTTCCCGGAGGAGAACATCACCGTGTTGATCGACACTGATGATTCTTACACCAAACCTACCGGCAGAAACGTCCGCCGTGCGCTGTCGGATCTCGTCGGTTCTGCGGAAGCCGGCGACATTCTCGTCGTTCATTACAGTGGGCATGGTACGAGGGTGCCGGCGGAGACAGGGGAAGACGACGATACTGGGTACGATGAGTGTATCGTTCCTTGCGACATGAATCTCATCACTGGTGAGTGAGAGACGACGGAAATTTAACTTTTCCTGTTCTAAGCTTCTTTTTGGTTTATCTATTCGATTGATTAGGATAGGAAAAGCTGTTTGGATTCCGGGAAAAAAATTTCCTGAGAAATTCTGAGTTTTTGAAGTGTGGATTGTTCTCGGATCATATGGAGAAATATCTCGAAATCCTGAACTTTTGGTAGAAGAGGAAAAATTCTGAACCATCGTTGACTTAAGAGTTTGGTTTCTTCCTAAATCAACGATTTCGGAATTCGAATTCTTGACCGAAGCTCCATGAATGCAGGAAGATTTGGTTTCCTCATTGGCTTGATCCCTTCCCTTGCATATCTTCGTTATGTCTCGTCTGATCTTTCTTTTGATCTGACGTTTTCGAGATATTGCATTTGGAGCTTGGTAATCTCGAGAGTTCTGCTAAAAGTTGAATCTGTTTCCAGATGATGATTTCAGGGATCTGGTCGAAAGAGTGCCAAAGGGAGCTCGCATTACGATCGTTTCGGATTCTTGTCACAGCGGTGGACTCATCGACGAAGCCAAAGAGCAGATCGGAGAGAGCACCAAGAAGCCAAAGCCGAAGCATGAATCCGGAGGCTCTTCAGGGTTCAGAAGCTTCTTGCGTGATGCAGTGGAAGATGCCTTCGAGTCTCGAGGAATCCACATCCATCACCATGAACATGGTCACAGGAAGCAAGAGGAGGAAGCATATGAAACCGAGACTAAGGAGATTGTATTCGAGGACGGAGAAAGAGTCCATGTCGGGACCAAGTTTCTGCCTCTTGAGACATTGCTCGATATTCTCAAGGAGCAAACGGGCAGTAACGATGTCGATGTGGGGAAAATCAGACCGACCCTTTTCAACTTGTTTGGCGAAGATTCGAGTCCAAAGGTGAAAAAGTTCATGAATGTGATCCTGAACAAGCTCCAGGAAGGGAATTGCCATGGTGGGCTGTTGGGAAAGATCGGAAACTTAGCTCAGGAGCTTCTGGAGCAGAAGCTAAACGACGAAAACTACATGAAACCCGCGATTCAGACACAAGTCGGGGACAGTCAGGAGGTATATGCAGGAGCAACACATGGTTCCCTTCCCGACAACGGGATTCTGATCAGTGGCTGCCAAACTGATCAGACTTCAGCTGACGCTTGCCCATCAGGAAAGCCGGGGGAAGCATATGGAGCGCTAAGCAACGGGATTCAGATCATATTAGCTGAGACAAAAGGTAAGATCACGAACAAAGAACTCGTCTTAAGGGCTAGGACGCTTCTGAAGAAGCAGGGCTTTACTCAGAGGCCGGGGCTGTACTGCGATGACCTTTACGTGAACGAACCATTCATATGTTGAAGGTGAGAAACCCTGTAGGAGATTGGTTCAGAGTGACCTCTGCGTATTTGGACAAAACTGGCTTGCCGGATTTGTTGGAAACAAACATAAGTTCCTTACATGCTATTTGCTGAAATTTTATGTATTGTTCTTGATGTGTTCTTGTAATAAAGTTGCTTCATTTTACCCTTTTTTTTCCAGATTTGGAATTCAAGAACTGGCTGAATATTCTGAATCTTGAATCGATTTCGGATATATTTGGGTGTTACGTGAATGTTATCAAGGAAAGATCATATCCATGGACACAGATCTTTCCTGAACAAAGTTTGGTCCTTTTTAATGTCAATGTATACAGTTTTCGTATATGAACTAAATGGATTTAGTTGGCACTCTCTTCCCAACAAAAAAACAGAGTTTGTTAATCAGATCAGAACTTCGACGTTTCGTCAATGCCGAAGAAAACGGTAGCGATAGGGATACAATTACGCGGAAACCATACGTACGACAGATGTACGGATGCTTGGTCGGAGGTACGGATTTTTGCCGGCGAAACCATCCCCCGTGACAGTTATGAGGATGAAGCAAACAAACAGTTGGTTTGGTCGTTTTATGTTGTGGATGTGGTTTCTAACTTTCTATGCTTATTATCTCAATGTGGTCTCATAATTTATGACGTCAATGAAAAATTAATTCAAAATGACCATATGATATAATCATATAGTACTCTGGTGTTTGATGAAATTGTTTTTTATATAATATATATGTTAACATTGCTTCAGAGATAAATCATTATTTGATATATAAGAAAAATAATCTGATTATAATTGATTAGATTTGTTAGTTAATTTCAGATTTTCAAATCATAATTCCATTTTTTCGAAATATGGTTATCCATAATTGATCGGAATAATATACACACGTCATTGATTACGTCATGGGATACTGTATCCCTCCATACAAAATCAGATCGTTTATTTATACACAAAAAAAAGGTAGGAGAAGAAAAAGGAAAAGAAAAAGCTCTGACGAAGATCCATCAATGGCGAAGAAGGCGGTGTTGATAGGGATCAATTACCCGGGAACCAAGGCGGAGCTACGGGGCTGCGTCAACGACGTTCGGCGGATGTACAAATGCCTCGTCGAACGGTACGGATTCGCCGAGGAGGACATCACCGTTTTGATCGATACTGATGATTCCTATACCAAACCCACTGGCAAGAACATCCGTCGGGCTCTGTCGGATCTCGTTGGATCGGCGGATTCCGGCGATATTCTCTTGGTTCATTACAGTGGGCACGGTACGAGGTTGCCGGCGGAGACAGGGGAAGACGACGATACTGGATACGATGAGTGTATCGTTCCTTGCGACATGAATCTCATCACTGGTAAGTCAGATTCAATGGAAATTGTGCTTTTTGTTTGGGTGGATTAAGGGAATTCAGGGTTTTGAGGTTTACATCTGTTGATTGTGATGTTCTGATCTCTGATCGCGTATCCATGGAGAGACCAATCTCTTCGCCAGAAAATGGAAGATCACACGGAATGTTTCGTTTGTTTCCGATTTTGAATTTTTCCACGAAAATGTAAAAAAGGGACCAAATGGGTAGAAAGCGAGAAGCTTTTGGGGTTGATTTCTCTACTATTTAGCTAGAAACCGAATGAGTCATAATGCTCTGTTGAGTTAATCATAGATCACATGAGATCTTGGTCAAAGTTGCATGATTGCTAGAAGTTTTGATCTTCTTATGATCATATATATAGGCTTGAATCATTGGGTTATTCTTCTCATAGGATCCTCTTCCGAGATCGGTTTCTTATGGGTGTGTTATTATTCATTATGCTGTGCTGATGTGATTTTGTTTTTCAGATGATGATTTCAGGGATCTTGTGGATAAAGTTCCGGAGGGTTGTCAAATGACATTGATTTCAGACTCATGCCACAGCGGCGGCCTCATCGATGAAGCCAAGGAGCAGATAGGAGATAGCACCAAGAAGGAGGAAGAAGAATCAGAAGGCTCTTCTTCGGGATTCGGGTTCAGAAGCTTCTTACGTGAAACTGTGAAAGAGGCATTTGGTCACAAGAAGGAGGACGAGGAAGAATCACAAGAAATCGAGACTAAAGAAATCGAGCTAGAAGATGGAGAGAGAGTCCATGTGAAAGCCAAGTCTCTACCTTTACAGACCTTGATTGATATTCTCAAGCAGCAGACGGGGAAAGAGGATATCGAAGTAGGGAAGATCAGACCGACCCTTTTCGATGTGTTTGGCGAAGATTCAAGCCCAAAGGTGAAGAAGTTCATGAAGGTGGTCCTGAGCAAGCTGCAGGAGAGAAACGGTGAAGGTGGGTTCTTGGGAATGATCGGGAAATTAGCTCAGGAGTTTCTAGAACAGAAACTGAATGATGAAGACTATGTGAAACCCGCGATGGAGACAGAGCTCGGGAGGAAGGAAGAGGCTTACGCCGGTGCAACCAAGGGTTCACTCCCGGACAGCGGGATTCTGGTCAGCGGTTGCCAGACAGATCAAACATCTGCAGATGCAAGCCCTCCCGGAAGACCGGGAGAAGCCTATGGAGCATTGAGCAATGCCATTCAGACAATACTGGCGGAAACAGAGGGCGAAATCTCGAACAGGGAAATCGTTACGAGGGCTAGGAAGATTCTGAAGAAACAGGGGTTTACTCAGCAGCCAGGGCTGTATTGCCATGATGGTTATGCCAATGCACCTTTTATATGTTGATGAGAAGTTTGAAGATTAACTGTGCTGCGCATGGTAAAAGTCCCGGAATCGAAGCCAAGATGGAAGAGTCTTTTGAGTGCCTCTGCTGTTGTGTTGTGTGTGAAATTAAACTGAAACTGCTTTCTTTCTGTTTGTTCATTGTTGAAGCTTTGATTTGAACGGATTGTGTTTTCTCCTCTCTCTCCCTCTATACATACATACATACATATATATATATATATTGCATTAAAAGTTCATCCTTGATTGAGTTAATAGACGAAATCAATGACAAATTAAAGCTCATTACACCTATGTTTACTTGCCCCAAGGAGGCATGACAAAGTGTGCTGATGATGATATACACATTTTTCTTAGCGTGCCAAAAAATTAAAGGCTACCGAGTATTTTTTTTTTCCACCTCTAATTTAGAACATGAAACAAAATAAAACGGGAAAGAAAAAACAAAAACAAGAATGAGGATGAAACATTGGCCGTGGTCATGGAGCTTCTCCCTGAGTTCTGGTTTTGTCATAACTTTAACAATGTTGTCTTAGTCGTCGAGGTCTTGTACCCATGCTAAATCTGCAAACCAATATATATATATATATATATATATCTGATGGTGAGATCACAACTACAATAGAAAGAAACCAAAGTATACAATTATGTGTGTGTGTATATACATAAGTGTATAAATCTATACACCTACACATTGTGTGATTGTGTGTGTGTAATGTGTATGAGAGAGAGAGAGAACCTTCTAATACAGTCTCTACTGCTGCATTAGGGACAAATAGGCCGACAATCCGCCGGTTATCCGTCGTGGTCTGTATCCGTACGACTCGAAGTCTCTTGTGGCTTTGACGAGCCTTGAAACAACCGCCATAATATTGGTTTTGTCATGTTCGGATACCATAAATTCAGAACGAATGTACGGTTGATTAAAAAGATCCAAAAAAACTTACTTGCTTGGAAAGAGCTTTCTCGATGGTTCCCCAGACAGGAAGAATGAGGCCGCCCAAGACGTTAACTTCTTGTATCCTTCGCCCAACAGTACAAAAGTCGCCCAGCTTACACTTGGATCCGTGCATGCACTGTGTTGTGACATAGAAAGATGTCAGTTTTCATGGCATAGAGAAGGAATGGCTTTGTCTTATGTTTCCTGAAACGAAGCATACTTACCTGTTTAGATGAAACTTCGTACTCGTCTTCCCAACCATTACAAGCTTTCTCCAGAGATGAGAGTTTTCTGTATTTACTTTTCAATTCCGAAAGAGGCATCTCCCTGGTTTAAAAGAAAAAACAATTGTGAAGATGTGCTCTTGCCGGAAATATGCACGAAAGAGTACATACCTGATTGACTCTCCTACAGCGGGACGGACTATCTTAAACAACCCCGACCCTGCACTGCAAATCCAACAAGTTTGCACGCGATGAGTCATGAGATCGAATAGTAATCATTTTAAATCATCTACATGAAGTACCAACTTGAAAGAAACGAAGATGGTGGAAAAAACATAATAACGATAACAAGAGAAAGCTCGGAAGATAATTTCTTACCTCTCAAATGCTAATATGAAGTGTCGTCTTCCTAACCATTCCCTTTTAGATTCATAAAAGCCATCACTTGCAGAACCAAGTCCATCCCTTTTCTTTTCCGTAAGCATTGAACTTGCAGTCTATTGCATAGATGAAATCAAATCTTGCTTCTTTACTTAACGGAGCTAACAACTAACAATTACAACTATGGTAGAAAAAGAAAATGTAAGTACCTCCCATGTAACTCCACGATCGAGAGTGAAAGTGAAGAGCATAGTCGAGGCTCCAGACATTTGATCAACATGAACGGTCTGATAATTTCCACAAGTTAGTAACAACACAAATAGGCAAAGTGTGCAAAATTCAAGTAAGAGATATCAACCTTTGGAGAGCCCTGCAACTCAATGCTATTAGCTTTCATATCGACGATTCCTGAATCAAGGTTTCCTTCAATGCGAGCATTATGTACAAGAAAATCTAATATACTTGCAAATAATTCAAACAGCCTGCATAACAATGGAAAGCATTTAAAAGTCGATTAAGATGACATGCAAAATAAAAGGTACATAGCGAAACAAAAGCTTAATTTTTATTTGATTAATAATACCTATTCTGAATGTCTGGTGGCAATCCCAGGAGCCGATTGAGAAAACGACCAACATCATGCATGTCAGAATCAACTATTCGTCCTGAAATCTTTCCGAAGTCTTTCCCGTTAGCTGTTTCAAACCCAGGGTAAATCAAGTTATTTCCATTGGGTTAGAAATTAGAATGATAATGCAGAGACTAGCGGGATAAATTTAAATTCAGTGTATACATTAAACAACTACAGAAACTTACCCATAACACTGTCTCTAACAATTCCAACAGATATGAGGGCAGCTCTTGCCTTTTTTAGAAAATCTTTACTTGTTTCTGGTTCATCAGACGAACAACCAGGAGGAACAACAGGCAGATTCTCCTGAAAGTGAAAGCCAACATAATAATCACTCTCCATCCATCATTACTTTACCAATAAATTCAAGAAGGCATATAAATGAACTTGGAGAGGCAGTAAGGTTTTGCATGAGGAAGACCTGCTCCATTATTCCTCTGTACATCACCATCAATGCTTTTTTACCAAAGTGACTATCGTAGTTATAGGCACTCAAAGATGGCCCAGCTCTGCAATACATAAAACCATATCTTGAGATGCAGAAATGGAGGGAAGGCGTTAAACAAACAAACATGAGAAAAAAAAGAAGATAAAATGGGTATTGCGAAGGGCATATGACTCACCTTCGATCTCCTTGTGTCAAAGCACCAAGAGTTTCTAGTCTCTTTGCAACAATGGATGCAAAACGGCGCTCCCCACCGAGATTTGTGAAAATTAGGCTGTCAATACCAAACGCAATAACTTATAGTCTTTAAAATAGTCAGCAGCTGAATTTGAGGTACAAAAAAGGCAAAAATATTTTCTTTTTCGAAAAGAAGCAAAATAACCGAAATAAGACATAATCTACCTATATTCAGGTGCTGATGTTTGATTTGACCGATGAGTTCTTCCAAATTGCTGAATTGCTCGATCAGCACTCCAAGGGAGCTCCAAGGTCAAGTGGACCCTTCTTTTCTGCAGAAGAATACCAAAAGGCTCCAACATAAATTTAAAGGAAATCCTGCATAGATAGGAACACTTGAAGGTTGAAATTTAAACTCCTTCAAGTTCTGTCCGCATGGAAATTACGATATACCTTAGTTTATCAAAACTTAAGGATCATGGAAAAATAAACAAACACATGTTTATATACAGCCGGAGAATCTACCAACTTGGCACACCTGATTTGCTGCCCTTCTATCTGCTTGCAGCGAAACACCAGCTGACCCAGCTTCAGAAATAATGGCAACCAACTTTTTACCATCCATAAATAGCTGCTTCTCGTGCATGTTAACCATTTCCATGGTGATATCCTTTCTAAAATACCAGACAAGCACAAGCAATGAAACTTAAACCACTAGTGCCCCCAAGAAAGAATTGGATGCATAAATCAGGGGAATGAGAGATGAGTCCAAAACTCACGTGTTCCTTGCTTGATATGTAACACCTTTCCCATTAGATGCTCTTACAAGCATACCTCGCCTGCCTGTAATTTCTGCTACATTTTCAGGGCCTCCAAGCTGCATCATTACATACAGAAACAGCCACAGCAGCTTAGATCCATTGTTATGAAGTTTCAACGCATTATAGTTAGCCATAAAACTAAGCCTTTGGATACTCAAGTAAAAGCACCAGGCAAATCCCATGAATTGGATAAAAGATTCGTCAAGAAAACCCCATTAACATCATCCAGACAAACCACAATACCATAAAAATAATGAACATTTTGTACCTTCCATCAGAACATTACGCACAGAAAATGTTTAGAATTAGTCTATACGGAGATATAACTACTAGCCAGCAATAACAAATTCTAAGGGTACCGTGCCCTAGCTATCCCTGACAGGCAGTTGACTACCGTCTCATTGTTGATCCAATAACCCAAGATGTATGAACATTACCTGATCAATAATATCATCCAAAGGATTGTTTGGAAGATTCAAAGAACGAACTATCTCTAGAATCTTTAATTTTCGCTCCACAGCTGCTTCATACCTAAGAAGAAACAAAGGATCATCATTCTTTAAAATGTGTTATACATTTCATCCGTAACCGAATCGGGGAAACAAAATCAAGACACATCTTGCTTCAAATCAAACACACAACATATGAATAACCGGGAAAAAAAAAGAGACTAGCAGTATATAGACCTCTTCTGTAATTCTGCAATGTAGAGGCGTCTTGCTTGAATGTATTCCTCTGTCTTTTCCTTGCATGAAAGGCATGTCCAAGGTTCAGGTGGTATTTCTGTAACTGGAGGAACTACGCAACTGGGATGAATAAGCTTCTCACATTCTGAACAGTGGAGCAACTTCTTCCTCTCCTAGTTTCATCACGAGAAATATTATTAAAATTCACATGGGGTCAAGCTGTCCAAATTAAGGAAAATACCTCTTCTCCATTGCATATCTGACAGATTTGGAATTCATCGTCAGAATCATTAGAATCATGAACAGAATCACCTGCATTGAATACAGTTCACCTAGTGAGGGACTAAAGAGAAAAGACAGATCTTGAAGATTTAGGATTGAATTAAATGCTAAAAGATAAATAATTGACATCTACAAGGACAACAAGAACAAAATGATGAATACTTGATTCAGAAGAGACAAATACAATGATTGAGAGATTTGGGAACATCACTCATCTTTATCATAACAAAATAAGGCTACCACCCCCTATGCAACTCCCCATATCAGATGACTGATAGAAAAAACTTTTCAGTTAATATGTAGATTCCTTGTTAATACATTCGTTTTATGCGATGTTTGATGTGGTCATTGGGAACTTCCCGTCACATCACATACTTCTGTCCCTAAAGAATACGAAAGAGTGCATCGATACGGAGAAATCCTAAGGCCCCTTTTGCACCAGAAAACAGACCTTCAGACTCGAAATCACTTTCATCATCACTATCAGGTTTCCATTTGGCCATCTTTCTGACTCTCCCCCTAAATGAAACACCTGGTGAGGCTGAGCGTCTCTTTCTTGGAAGTTCTTTTACACCTTCATCCTCTGTATATTCAAAAGAAGCAAATATAAGCAGCGGGTAACCACCACAGCAGATTCAATGCCAAAAACAGTATTCAGCTACCTGAAAGAGGTTCAGGCTTCTCAGGCAGAGGATAATTTTCTTCCACAAATTTCAACAACAGCTCTCGAGGTCCGGAGACAAAATCATCAAGCTCTAGACCCTACAATAAGCAGATGAACAAAACAAGGACATTATGAATAACGTGCATATAGTTACATGGAACCATAAACAAATAAAAATAATATTGATGGCTTAACTAGAGGAGAGACACACATATTTCGTTACAGCTTCTTCAGTTCGAGCCTCTCCTGTACTCTGAAGGCCAATAACCACACATTTGTTCTGTGATAATGCTTGCTTAGCTAACCTCACTGTAGCAGGAACTTTGGCTGACATACACAAGTGTCTAAAGAAACGCTGCAGTAGCATATGGGGAAAGATATTACAAATTTGCAATCAAACAAAAGTCTAAATCAGAAATCTTCCAAAGAATTAAAAACCTAGCAGTAGCATCAGAAGGAAAAAAAAAGAATATACCTGGTGGCTTGACCAGTATAATCTCCACAACTGACTAGAATTCGGTTTCTCATTAGGCAGAAAAGCACTTGCTGACAACAATTCTACCCGTAACTCCGCCCAGAATTCCGCAGCTTTTTTGTACATTGCCTATGGATGTAACAAACAAACATTTCTATGACAAAGACAAAAGTATAAGAAAAGAACTCGTTGATGTCAAGATCATAAATCTATGCACATTATGTTATTGATGGAGATATCTCCAACTACCAACAGGGCATTCTACTAATAATGTGCTCGATAAAACAGATATCAAAACAGAAAAAACATAAGAGAACAAGCAAATTAAAGCATACAGTTTTTTCTTGATAAAGGAGTAGAAGGGGAGGAAAGGTAGCATCTACAGCCCCATTTAGATGTCAATACAATGTCGCAATAATTAATACAAAAACTTTTTGAAGACGGTCTACCGTCCTTGGAAAGGACTTTGTGAAACTAACAAAGCATTATTTGAATATCAGAGACTTTTGTCATTTAGGTCTTTAATGCAAGTAAAAAGGAAAAAAGAAAATAAAGAAGAACATTTACCTCCATTTCTGCTTCCAGAGGAGCTTCAACAATCTCAAACTCCGCTCCTTTGTAGCTCAGAGTACGGCATACATACATCCCTCTGTTATACAGACAGAAGGTTAACATAAGCTATGATAGATGGGTTAGAGATATGACACAGGATTTAAAACCTGGCTTTCATGTCCATGGCCACCAATTCCAGTGCTCCTACACCGCCTTTATCAAGAGCGACTGTAGAAAGGTTCGGTTAGAAGTTTTCATTGGCTTTACCTTTATAATATAAATAATGACAAAAAAGATATAATCAAGAAAACCAAAGATACTTCGAGAGACAACTCGGATAAGTGTGATCACAGCAGCAGTACTTATAAGAAAATTCTACAAAATGATTGATACATACTTGACACAGATACTCAATCCCCCAGCCTAGTAAGTCCATTTTTATCTATAATTAGCATTAAGAACAGTGTTGTTTCTGTTAACTGAAATGCAGATTGCACAGCAACAGAGTCAATGAATTGGTACTGAAATATATATTATGAAAGAGGCAGAAAGAGAGCAGACCTAGAAATTCATTAAACTCGCTGAAACTTGTTCCAGCTCCCCAAAGACCCAGCCTGACCATATAACCCATGTTTCGTGGTTCAGATGCACCAGTAGCTGAGCAATAAAGAACACGTGCTTCAGGGAGTTTATCCTGCTTTGTCAAATTCAATTTTCTAGAGTCAGTTAGAAGGCTGATTCACAACCATTCATTCCAAACCAATTATCCTCTGTGATTGAGAATAAACCTAACCAAAACAAAGCAGAGAGAAGCATAAAGTACTAAACCAAAAAGCAAAGCAGTATCAGTTGAAGCAACAAAGAAGAGAGAGCACAACATCACAAGGGACAAACACAACATCACAATGGACAAAATATTCAGAAATTCAAATTCAAGTTACGGACCTGAATGTCAACAACTGCCTGCCCAATACGAGTTGGCTGACTCCCAGCTTCAGGTACCAAGTTTTTTGCTTTATGACACTATAAAAAAAGAAATTTCTTAGTAGCGGAAGGCTGAAGCTGAAAAATGTATTAAGTTATTAACAATAAAAGCTCAGCTCCAAAGACGATAGAACTGGCAACCAAGCCAAACAAAATCATGAATGCAGTGTCTCAAAATTCATAACAGAACATACTCATACGTTGTGCAACTCATAAAAAAGGGTCTAAAAGGCATAGTATTAAGGCAAACAAATTTAACATACAGCATTTATGGATTTGCTACCTCATCAAAGATCACGAGGCCATCGAAGCCCGGTCCACACCACTGAACAAGCTGTTGCATGCGGGAACGACCCTTCTCAGAGGAAGCAATAAGGCTATTGTATGTCAAGAATACCACTCCTTCTTTAATCCCAACAGACTTTGAATCGAGCTTAGAATAGGGTAACTTGTTCAAAGCATGCACTGCATGTAAAACACGTGGTCACAAATTTTATTCCTAAAAAGACAAAAAAAAACACGGCACACGCCTTGCAATTTCAATGCTCACTTGGCTGATGGCATCAGAAAACAGAACCTAGTTCAGTTTTCCTGTTATACTGCTCTGTTATTATTTCCCGTCTTCTAAGATTTTAAACTTCCCCAGATGAATCTATAAGAAAGTAACACTGAAGACAGAGAAGCGCATCCACGAATGAATTATTTTCTAAATATAACATGCTTTGTTTGATCTAAAATAGTCCTGTTTTGCACAAAGATCAGCAGTCACAAGAATTTTCTAGGCCTGAAGATGCTGGAAACAGAGACCAAAGAGCTATAACTGCATTTCAGAAAAGACCAATAAGAATCCTTGATTCCTTGCATGGTGTAATGTGGCAGAGAGACATGCCTATACATTAAATCCTAATTGCTGCAACCATCTGTCAATTCACATCTTTAGCCAACACAAACATAATTTGATTTCATATTGTCTAATCAAAATCAAGCACTACAAAAAAAAACCTTTAGCAGCAAACAAGGCATGTCATGTAAATCCAGAAAGTGCTTTTATGTAAAATAGAGAGACCAATTTTAAAAATCGGTACCTTCTGCGCATGTTGCACCTACATCATCTAAGTCCCTTCTTGCATCGTACTTCAAGTCTGAGCCAACAGAAATCCACCTGTGTGAGGCAACAGGGAACAAGGCGAACTTAACTGACAGAGTAAAGAATGTGATTATGCAGGCATGAGCATAATATCTTGTCAAGGATTGTAGACCGTGTATATTTACTATAAACGCTTCTACACAACTTACAATGCTTTTCTTCTCCCACGTTGCCAATTCTCCCAAATCAGCCCAGCAATTGTTCGCCCTTTCCCCACACCAGCACCATCTCCAACAAAGAATCCGGCCCTGGTACCATCAGCAAGATGCTGGAGATGCCTCTATAATAGAAAACAACATTGAGATACGAGTACAGCAGAAACTCAAATGTCATTAACAAAGTTTCTGGTACTAAAGCAACCTGACAAGCGTAAACTAATGTCTCAATCTGCAAGCACGATAGAGCCTTTGACCTTTCAAGCTCATCCTTTATTTTGAGATTATAAGTGGGTTCTGGGGGCTGCACTGCAGATAAGGATGATGTTTCCACAATTGGATCTGGATGAGGAGGTCCAATTGAAAGCTTTGGTGGGCGCTGGATAGAGAAACAAAAGAAGTTGCATTGTCAATGACCAAAAGTGGTATGACTGCAAAAACAAATAGACAATGAGACAATCAAGTTGAAGCACTGACATAATCCATAAACGTTTCTCCTACTGTTCCACCTTCATCTTCTTCTCTCTCCACTTCAATGGCTACCTGGTTTTAGAGACAACAATAGAATATGGTGAGAAAAGAAACATATCCAATACAGAAATGAGAAATATGATTTGAACAGAACAAGGATAAAATGATCCAGGAGTTCAACAATAACACCCTTTACAGAATCGAGTTCTCACACTTCTTTGCCACATGTAAAATATTTTTGGAGTAACCACACTCCGACCAACAAACTACAAATCCTTTCACGCGACAAAAGCTCTTGAGAATTGTAAAAACCTTCACAGACATCATAACCAGAACATTACAGATTCACAATTCGCTCATCAAAACCCATAATTGAACCGCGAGCAAATAACACATATGAGACAACCAACAAATTTGCCATGTCGTAGTTGTTCACGAATAACTCAAAGCCCATATTGATACTTCCATTTGTAAGCAAAAATATCAAACATAGAACTAACAAGACATTTAGAAAGAGCAGAGACTTAAAACCTCGTTGACTTCTTCAGGAGGAGGAGGCGGAGCAGGAGAAGGGCCTGCTTGAGCCGGAGGAGGAGCAGATAAAGACTGATTAAGCTTGGAGACATCGACAGCGAGCTCGACATTACACTGAGGGCACGAGAACCGCGTGAGGCCGTGAGGCACATTGAGAATGGCCTGACAATTGGCGCAAGGCAACTGCATCTTCGTTGGATCGATGCCGTGTGCCGGAACCGGCGGGCGAGGTAAATTCAGAGGCTTTAGCTGCTGCTGCAGAGGCGGGAGAGTCTGAATCGGCTGTGGCTGCTGGAAATGTGGCCGTGCCCTAGCGATGAGCTCCGGCGGTAACATTTGGGGAAGTTGGCAGGTAGGGCACGAGAACTCGACCACACCGGTCTTCACCCTCAGGATCACACGGCAACCGGCGCACCTCACCTGCACCTCAGCCCTGCCTCCACCTCCACCTCCACCTCCGCCGCCGCTGCCTGAGGAGGATTGCGGAGGCGGAGCGGGGAGAGGCGGAGCCGGCGGCTGCGTCATGGAGGCGACGCCTGACTTCGAGCGGATCCGAGAGACAGATGCGATTCCAGGAGACGAAACGCCTTCGAGAGCGAGAGAGGCGAAAACTGTAACAGTGTAAGTAATGATTCGCCGAGGGCGCGAAAGGTCTCTCGGTGCTCTTTTCTTTTCTTCTCCTCCTTCGGTTCCTCGTTTTGGTTTCCGTAGCAGCAGATTTTCCCCTTTTTCTTCTTTTTATTCTGTTTTTTTATTAATCTGAATTTTCATGCTTCTTTCTTTTTAAACAAAAAAAAATCGTATTCAGGAAGTTAAATTAAATTCGGAGAATTATTATTTACATGAGTGACGACGGGGGGGGTGTGGGCCGGAAAAACCCACCTACGACTTGGTTGGGAACTGTGGTCGAAGGAGCACGTGCAGTATCACGTGACCCACCTTCTAATTCCACATTTCCTTCACTTGAATTTTTATTATAAAACTTTGGTTAAGAAAATGCAAACTATGTACCGAATTAAACCATGGCTAAATTGATATTTCGGATGAACTCAAGAGAGAAAGTTATTATAGGTATATGGATATTCAATGAAATTGGTTTGGGGCATAGAAATTATTAAATAGTTACGGGTTAGTGAACAAGAGTATTTGATTTGGGTCGCTTTGGTAAACTATATTTGGGCTTTGAGTACTAACACAAATGGGCTGGGCTATCTACCTTTTCTTAAATGGTCTGGGCCTATAAGTTGTTGACTTAAAAAATCTAGATATTAATAGTAGGGATAATTCCATTTAAAACCCTGTACTTTTCTCTCATCGCAATTTAAACCCTGTACTTTTTTTTGATCCAAAAAAACATTGTACTTTTGAAAATTGGCAATTAAAACTCTATACTTTTAAAAATTGGCAAATAAAACCCTGAACAAAAAATAATATTATTTAATGCTGACATGGCATCCTAGTCATCTGACACATCATCAATCCCTAATATTTAATAATATTAATTAATATAAAATAAAAATAAAATAATAAAAATAAAAATAAAATTTTAAAAATTATATATATTCATAAAATTATACACATATATAAACATGTTTATAAAAATTTTAAAATTATATACATATATAAATATATTTATATATACATATATACATATATATACATATGATACATATATATCTATATATGTGTATAATTATTATATGTTTTATATGTATGTGTTATATATGTATTTTTCCCTAAAAAACATTATATATATATGTATGATTTTTAGGAAAAAAAATCATATATCACACATACATAAAACATATTTATATATA